CGGCGGGCACGCAGGCTCCTGCCACCTCGGTGGCCAGGGACCACGGGGTGCAGACCTCGGGGCTCAGACCGGCCTCCTGCGCCCAAGGCTTTCTGCTCCCCTTGGGTGACCATGTGCATGGCAGGTCTCGACACTGAGCATCTGGGCCCTACTAGGGGTCTGACTGGGGGCGTAGGGGCACAGGAGGGGAGAACAGCCATCAGCCCCCGGGGCTCAGACACGTGCTATCGATCCCCAAGGAAGAGATATGGCCAATCGATCCCCGATCAGACAGATATGCCCAATCGATTCCCGATCAGACAGATATGCCCAATCGATCCCCGATCAGACAGATATGCCCTATCGATCCCCGATCAGACAGATATGCCCAATTGATTCCCGATCAGACAGATATGCCCTATCGATCCCCGATCAGACAGATATGCCCAATCGATTCCCGATCAGACAGATATGCCTTATCGATCTCCAATCAGACAGATATGCCCTATTGATCCCCGATCAGACAGATATGCCCAATCGATCCCTGATCAGACAGATATGCCCAATCGATCCCCGATCAGACAGATATGCCCAATCGATCCCTGATCAGACAGATATGCCCAATCGATTCCCGATCAGACAGATATGCCTTATCGATCCCCAATCAGACAGATATGCCCTATCGATCCCCGATCAGGCAGTTACATGCTACCAATTCTGGATCAGACAGGTATGCCCCATTGATCCCCGATAAGATATGCCTTACTGATCCCCAGACAGACGTGCCCATCGATTCCTGATCAGATAAAGAGCCCTATCGATCCCCGATCAGGCAGCTCTGTGCTGGCAGTTCCGGATCGCACAGAAATGCCCAATCGGCGCAGCTGCACTACTGGTTCCTGATCAGAACAATAGGCTGCCGATCCCCAACCAGCCAGCCCCCACGGACCCCGTCACACTGCAGACCTCTCTGGGCCTCTGTGCAGGCTCGGCCTTCAGGGGTCTGGCGGTCACCCGGCAAGCATGGGGCGAGGGTCCCTGCCAGCCCCCACGCGGGAACTCTGTTCTGATTCTCAGCTGTAGGCTGACGCAGGGCCGGGGTGCTGTGGCCACTGCAGGGTGCCTCATCTCTGTGCCCACAGGGTGGGTCTGGAGGGGGGCCAGGACCTCGGCCAAGTGCCGGAGAGAGTACTGAAGTCCTGAGGAGATTCCCCCCAGCTCCACGCCAACCGTGAAAGGGAGAGAGCAGCCCTGACTGGAAATGGGGTGAGCACTGGACACACCACACGAGTCCTGGTAGCGGCCGCACACCACCAGGGGTGTCTGTGTGTGTCTGTGAGTCTGTGTGTCTGTGTGAGTTCATGTGTTTGTAAATCTGTATGTCTGTGTGTGAGTCTGTGTGTTCGTGTCTGTGAATCTGTGTATCTGTGTGTCTGTGTAAGTCTGTATGTATCTGTGTGAGTCCATGTGTGTGTGTCTGTGTGTGTCTGTATGTGTGAGTCTGTGTCTGTGTGTCTCTGTGTATCTGTGAGTCTGTGTTTGTCTGTGTGAGTCTGTGTGTGTCTGTGTGTGTGTACGTGTGTGTGTGTGTGTGTGTGTGCGCATCTCTGTGCTCCTGTGTGTGTGGGACGCGGCCGTGGGCGGGGCCGGCCCTGCTGGCTGACGGGGTGTGGCGCCTCTGGTCTCCTTCCAGCTGTGGAGTGTTCGCGCCCAAGCAGGGCTGCGGCTGCCAAGACGGCCACAAGTTCTTACCTGAAGCGGGAGCACAAGAATTCAAGCTGGAGTTTCCTGGAAAACGCCCAATCCTGCCTGTCCCGGGGCCAAGGACCACCCCCCCCCCCCCCGCACACACGGGGGGGGGGGGGGGGGCAGGGGACGGGCCTGGCCGAGGAAGGCGGTGTTGCCCCCAGCCCTGGATGGGGCCACACATGAGCCGTCACTGGGCCCCTTCTGTGAAGCAAGACTCAGGGGCCCCGTCGCCCACAGATCAAGACGGGTCCTTCTCGCCATTACAACGGGGAAACCCGACCCTTCCGGAATATTCCTTGGGGGCCCCTCAGCGTGAAAGCAGAGGGTGGTTAGTGCCGCCCCCATACCCAGGAATGCCATTCTGGGCTCCTTATGGCCACGTTCAAGTTACAGGACGAGAAAAACCTGAAAGCTGTCCCCCGGGGCCAGCCGCTGCCACTCTGCCTGGCCGGGCACACCCCCCGGCTCTGGGCTCCTGGATGCCAGGTGACCCACGGGGTCACCAGCAATGCCTCGGGGGCACTGGCGGCTGGCAGGACCCTCGGAGCTCCTGACCTGGGCACGTGTGGTGAGTCTCTGCCCACACTGAGCCCCAGCCCCAGTGCTGCCGGCCTCATCCTGCGCCAGGCAGACCCCTGCTCTGCACCCCGGGAGCCCACCCAGGGTGCCCCTCAGCCAGGCGCCACCCTCGCACCCAGCACCCCTGCAGCCGGGTCCTGCTGGCCCCTCTGGCCGTGACCCGACTCCTCTGTCCCACAGGGCTGCCTGTCCCCCACCCCCACGACGATGCTGAAGGGGCCCTCACGTGGGGACGATGGCCTGGGGTGCCCTGAAGCAGGATCCCTGCAGGACGCACCTGGGACAGCCCTGCTCCCTCCAAAGCAACTGGCTTATTCTAGCCTGAGCAAACTTGGCGGGGGGGGGGGGGGGGGGGGGGGGGGATCACTGCCCTGGGGGCTGCATAGCACTGAATGCTCCCAGAGCATGCGGTGGGGGCAACCAGGCTCCTGCCCCTTCAGGGGTCCCTGTGGGAAGAAGGCTGAGCTGGAACAGGAAGCACGATGGTGCCTCGGGCTCCATGACCCCATCAGCATGGCCTCTACCAACCCTCCCCCACCGACCTCATCATCATGGCCCCCCAACTCTCCCCCCCACCTCATCATCATGGCCTCCCCAACCCTCCCCCCCCCCGACCTCATCATCTTGGCCTCCCCCAACCCTCCTACCTCATCATCATGGTCCCCCAACCCTCTCCCTGACCTCATCATCATGACCTCCCCAACCCTCCCCGCCCCTGACCTCATCATCATGGCCTCCCTTCCCAGGGCTGACTCCTGGTTCTGTGCTCAGGGCTCACTCCTGGTAGTGCCTGGGGGACCATAAGGGGTGCCAGGGGTCAAACCTGGGTCTGCCCCGGGCCAGGCAAGCGCCTTCCCCACTGTCCTCTCTCCCGGCCCCCCTGAAACAAACTTCGTCCCTTGTTGGACGTCGGCCCCAGAGGCGGCTACATCCACGGGACCAGGTCGGCCGTCCCCAACAGAGTCCTGTCCTGGCTACATCCAGACGCCAGCTCTGTGCCCCAAAGCCGCTGTCGGCCCTGGGACACCTGCCGCCCCGTCCCACCCACTAATGACGCCTCAGAGCCTGGGCCGGCTGTAAACCCCGGGCCTGACAATCACCCCCTGCCAAGCTGGAACAAAACCCCTTCCCCTCGTAAACCAGGAGGCCCGTCCTGCTGTCCCCCGGTCTCTGCTGCCCGAGGCCGGACACTCCCCCGTGTTAATGTGTGTTAACACCATTGCTGGCTTCCTGACAAGTGCCGCCACTGCACGGGGGCGCCCAGGGGCTCAGGCTGGCGCTGACTCAAACTTTGGCCAAGGCCCCCAGGGCTGGAGGACAGGCAGGTGGCGGCTGCCCTCCCCGCCTCGGCCGCTGGCTCAGGAGCTGGTGACGCCGCGTCTGCGTCTGCAGCGGGGCTGTGGGTGCCACGACCCCCCTCCCCACCCGGCAGCAAGCAACGCAGACGGTGAAACTGAGTCTGGGGAACGGCCTTGCGGCCGGCCGGGGCACACGTGAGGTGGGGCCCCACAACCTGGAGGGGTTCACCCCCCCCCGAACTCCATCACCAAACTCCCCTGCACCGTGGCAGACCCCCGCCGTCGGAACTCGCTCCTTTTGAATGAAATCCGCCCTAAACCCCGCCATCCGGAGGCCCAGGGCCCGCATTCCTCATCCTCCCGACACAAAGCCCCGGGCTCCCGGCAAGCACCCGGCAGCCCGGCAAACCCACTCTCGGCGGGGGCTGGGGCCGAGCCATCCTGCAGGTTCAGTCCCGCTCCGCGGTGACTGGCGTGGGGGGGCCGGGTTGGGGGGGTCAACGAGAAGGAAAACCGCCAACGGAACTTCCGAAAGCGGCTCCGTGGCCAGGGAGCGCCCCCGGCCACTTGCCCCGAGGGCCTGTTCCCCACACACATTCCCAGCCCTGCTGCCTCCAAAACCTTCACCCGCGGGGAGCAGAGCTGCCCAACCTGGCGCCCGGGGGGAGGTTGGTTGCATCACTGCACAACTGCAGCCCCGAAGTTCCGGACCGCGAGACAAACAACCGGAACCTGTTTCTCCCCCACGCCCGGCTAATTGGGCTGGCCAAGCCCGCTCGCGCTCCCTCCTGAACCCTCCCGGCCGTTCCTGCCCGGCCCGGCCCCCGCCAGGCGCCCGCTCTCTTCTCCCAGCCTCTCCGAGGCCCCCGGGATGGGGTGGCTGCGGGGGTCTGTGGCACGGAGGGAGGACCACCGGCTCCCCGTCCCAGCACCAGGCTGCTGCCCCCGCCCCTCCCCCACAGCCGGGCCGGGTTCCCGCACCGGCTCCACCGACCCGACCCGGCAGACCTCGGGGTAACACCCAAATTACAAGCCTGTGTCCGAGATCAAACACGAAGGTGCTTTTCAAAGCGCTCCCACACGGCGGCCGCCACACGTGGCCGACGGTTAGGGCCGCAAGGAGCCGCCCGCCCGAGACACACGGGCATGACTCAGGGGCCGGCCGGCGACTCCCAACGGTCCCACCCGGGACTAATTGGCACATGGGCTTTGCAGTGACCTTTGATCTCTGCAGACAGGCCCCGGAGGAGCCCCGTCGGGTCGGGGCGCACCCCACCCCACCCCACCTCCTCCCCCGGGGGCTGCAGGAGCCCAAGACGTGCCCCCCCACCCCGCGGCACCCAGCCGGAAGTCCCCACATCGCCTCAAAAAAGGTGCCCCGGCGGGCCCACTCACCGGACACGGACACTTCCATGAGCGCTTCGAGCGGCCGGTTGCTGTCCAGGTCCCGGCTGAGCTGCAGCTCGCCGGTGGCCGCGTCCAGCAGCAGCAGCCGCAGCTCGTTGCCCCGCAGGAAGGCGTAGGAGAGGCGGTCAGAGAGGTCGGGGTCGTGCGCGGGCACGCGGCCGATGACCCCCGTGGGGAAGCTGCCGGACTTGTTGCTGACGTAGTGGTTGAAGAGGATCTGGAAGTCGGGCAGCAGCGGCGGGTTGTCGTTCTGGTCCAGCAGGCGGACGCGCACGGTGGCCCGGCTGACCAGGGGCGCCGAGGTGGCCTGCACCACCAGCACGTACTCCTGCCGCGCCTCGAAGTCCAGGTCGACCAGCGCGCGCAGGTCGCCGCTCAGCAGGTCCAGCTGGAAGGCCTCGGGCACGTTGCCCTCCACGATCTGGTACATGATCTGGGCGTTGGCGCCCTCGTCGGGGTCGTGGGCGCGGATGCGGGCCACCACCGAGCCCACGGGGCTGTTCTCCTCCACCCACAGCTCCAGCTCGTCCCGCTCGAACACGGGCGGGTTGTCGTTGATGTCCAGCACGGTCACCTGCACGTCCACCGAGGCGCTGAGGGGCGCCGGGCTGCCCCGGTCCACCGCCAGCGCCCGCAGGCGGTACACGGCCACGTTCTCCCGGTCCAGCCGGCGCTGGGTGCGGATCACGCCGGACGTGGGCTCGATGTAGAAGTCGCCGTCCCCGTCGTCCCCGCCCTGGAAGGTGTAGAGCAGGCGGCCGTTGGGGCCCGAGTCGCGGTCGCTGGCCGAGACCTGGAGCACGCTGGTGGACGGCGGCGCGTCCTCCAGCACGGAGCCCTGGTAGAGGTCCCGCAGGAAGCGGGGCGCGTTGTCGTTGGCGTCCAGCACCAGGACCTCCAGCGACGTGGTGTCCGACTTCTGCGGGATGCCGTTGTCCCGGGCCGTGATGGCCAGCGTGTAGGCCGCCTGGTCCTCGTAGTCCAGCTCGGCGGTGGTGTAGACGGTGCCGGAGTCGGGGTCGATGCGGAACTGGGGCACGGGGTCCTCCAGCACGTAGGTGATGCGGGCGTTCTCGCCCGTGTCCTCGTCGGTGGCGCCGATGGTGGCGATGGCCGTGCCGGCCGGGCGGTCCTCGCTGACGCTGACCGTGTAGTGCGAGCTCTGGAAGACGGGCCGGTGCGTGTTGGCGTCGGTGACGTTGATGAAGACCTGCGCCGTGTGCGCGCGCGTGCCGTCCGAGGCGGTCACCGAGAGCACGTACTGGCGCTCCTGCTTGTAGTCCAGCGGCAGGGCCAGCGTGATGAGGCCGCCGCCGCTCTGGCTGCTCAGCGCGAAGCGGTTGCGCGTGTTCCCGCCCGTGAGCTGGTAGGTGATGACGCTGTTGGCGTCGCGGTCCACGGCGCGCAGGGTCAGCACGCTGCTGCCCACGGCCGCGTCCTCGTTCAGCCGCAGCGCGTAGGCGGGCTGCGTGAAGGCGGGGTCGTTGTCGTTCACGTCCAGCACGGTGACGGACACGCTGGCCGAGGAGCTCATGGGCGGGGAGCCGTGGTCCACGGCCTCCACGCCGAAGCTGTAGTGCTCCACGGCCTCGCGGTCCAGCTCGGCGCACACGGTGATCCAGCCCGAGCTGTTGTGGATCTGGAAGGGGAAGTCCCCGGCGGCGGCGGCGGCCGCGGCACCCGCGGTGCCCCCGGGGTCAGCGTCGGGGTCGCCCGCCGCCCCCGCCGCGGCCGCGCCCGTGCCCACCAGGCGGTAGCGCAGCCGCGCGTTCTCGCCCGCGTCCGCGTCCACCGCCTGGATGTGCAGCACCGAGTGGCCCAGGGGCGCGTTCTCCAGCACGGCCGCCTGGAAGGGGCTGCTGACGAAGATGGGCGCGTTGTCGTTGACGTCCAGCACCTGCACGGCCACCAGCCCCGACGCGTTGATGAGCGGCGGCCGGCCGCCGTCCTGCGCCTTGACGCGCAGCGTGTACTCGCGGATGGCCTCGAAGTCCAGCGGGTTGATGACGTCCAGGCTGCCGCTGAGCGCGTGCAGGTAGAACTGGCCGCGCAGGTTGCCGCTGACGATGCTGTAGTGGACCGCGGCGTTCTGGCCCTGGTCGCGGTCCGTGGCCCGCACGCGCAGCACGGGCGTGTTCACGGCCACGTCCTCGGGCACGCGCACCACGTAGCGCGCCTCGCTGAACTGCGGGTAGTTGTCGTTCTCGTCCTCCACGGCGATGTGCACGGTGGCCGTGGCGCTGAGCGGGCCGGGGCTGCGGCCCTGGTCCGTGGCCTCCACCAGCAGCTGGTAGGCGGCCGCCTCCTCGCGGTCCAGCGCGGCGCGGGTGCGCACCACGCCCGAGCGCGCGTCGATCTCGAAGACGCCGCGCGCGCCGCGCAGCAGCCGGTAGCGCAGGTCGGCGTTGGCCGGCGCGTCGCCGTCGGTGGCGCGGATGGTCAGCACCTCGGCGCCCACCTCCAGGTTCTCGCGCACGCGCTCGCGGTACTCGGCCTGCTCGAAGGCGGGCGCGTGGTCGTTGGTGTCGCCCACCGTGACGGTGAGGTAGGTGGCCCCCGAGCGCCGCGGGGAGCCGTGGTCCAGCGCGCTGACCTTGAGCACGTGCGTGTCCTTGGTCTCGCGGTCGAGCGCGCGCGCCGTGCGCACGGCGCCCGTGGCGGGGTCGATGGCGAAGAAGGCGCCCGAGCGCTCGTCGAAGAGCGGCTCCATCTGGTAGCTCAGGCGCCCCGCGTCGCCGGGGTCGGGGTCGTGCGCGCGCAGCTCGATGACCGGCGTGCCCGCCGGCTCGTTCTCGGGCACCGACACCTGGTAGCTGGGCAGCGGGAACTGCGGGCTGGTGCGGCCGCCGCCCGCGCCCCGGCGGGCCCGGCGCGCCGCGCCCGCCGCCCCCCGCCGGGGGTCGCGGCCAGGCCCCCCGGACGGCGCGCGGCGGCGGCGGGCACCTGCGGGCGGCGCGGGCGGTCGGCGCCGCGAGCGCCGCGCGGCCGGCGGGGCAGCAGCAGAGCCGCGCGCCGGGGGGCCCCGCGCGTCCGCGCCGCGCGCGGGGGCCGTGCGCGCGCGCCGGCGGCGGCGGCGGCGGGACCCCCGGGGCCCCCCGGCACTCGGGGCGCGCGGGCGGCGGCGGGCGCCCCCCGAGCCGCGCGCAGCCCCCCCGGGGACCCCGCGCCCGGCGCTCCGGGGCGCGCGTCGCGGCTCACGTCCGGCGGCTCCCGCGGCGGCGGTGGCGGCCCGGCCGTGCGCGCGGCGTCCAGGGCGCGGGTCCGGCCGGGCAGCGCGACGGCGGCGGCGGCCAGCAGCAGCGGCAGCAGCAGCAGCGGCGGCCGCGGCCTCGGCGGCGCCATGGCCCGGGGTCCGAGCCGGGCGGCCCAGCAGCGCCCAGGCGCCGGCGGGGCCCCGCGGGCCCGCGGCCACCTCGAGGGCGCGCGGCCGGACCCGGCGCGCCGCGCGGCTGCAAAATGGCTCCTCGGCGCGTCCCGGGCGGGCGCGGCGACCTGCGCCCGCGGCGGCTCCAGGTGGCCCGGGCGGCGGCGTGGGAAGCGGGGCGGGCCCGGCCCCCCGCGCCCCCCGCGCCCGGCCCCGCCCCCGGCCCGCCGCGCATTGTTCCTCCCGGGGGGAGCGGCCCGGGGTGCGCGCCTTCGGGTCTCCATGGAGACGCGCGCGGGGCGGGGCGGGCCGGGGCGCGCGGGCCGCGCGGCGGGGCGGGTCCCGGCGATCGGGGGCGCCCGGGGGGCGCCGAGACCCCCGGCGCCGCCCCTCGCGCCCGACGGAAACTTTCCCGGAGTTTCCAGCCGGGAGCGCGTCCCGGCCCGGCACCGCCCCCCGCCCGCCCTCCCCAGGGGCGCCTTCGCCCACCTACGGGGCCGCCTCCGGGACGCCCCGCCCCGCTTTAGGGCTCCTGCGCGCCGGAGCCCGTTCCCCCCGGCTGGGAAGACCCCCGACCCCTCCCGTGGCGCTTTTGCAACCGGTGGGCCTGGGGGAGTCGCCAGTCCGCCGCGTTTCCAGGCGGAGCGCCCTGAGCAGGCGACGCCCCCGGCCCCCCACCCTCCCCGTGGCGGGCAAATAAATTCCTCCCCGCTCCTAGAGGTGCTGGAAACGGCCCCTCCGGGCGGAAGTCAGAAGTGGGGGTTTCTTCCCTTTCCCTGGGATTGGGGCCCGCCGGGATGGGCCGAGCGGCGGGAACTTCTCAACCCGGGAACGTCCGCCCGCGGTGGCCCTTGGGGAACTGTGCCCGGGAGGGAAGCCGGGAGGGCCCCGGGTGCCACCTCCCAGGCCCCCCCCTCCCCCGGCGCTCCTCCTCCTCCTGGCGGGGAGGGTCGCGGGGGTGGGGGGCGCTGGGGGCAGCCCGGGGACAGTGGGGAGGAGGCGGGCGGCGGGCAGCCCCCGGGAGGGAGGGCGAGCCAGGCTCTTTCACAATCGCCTTTAATGGGGTGGGGTGGGTTTCGGCAAACAAGGTCTGCGGCCCTGCACTTGCTGCCTTTTGAGAATTCAAACGCCGCGAAGGGCCCTGGGTGTGTCCTGCTCTCCGGGAACCAGACACCTGCCCAGCGCCTGACCACAGGCGCGGCCCACGCCCCTTCCTGCTGGGGCTCCTGGTCGCCGCCACAGCCCAGGAAGAAGGAGGCTGGGGGCGGCGTCTCCCCTCCTCCAGCCGCCTCTGTAGGAAACTGGGGGGCCGGGGTGAGATTCTGACGCTAGAGGAGCCCGCCCCGGCCCCTCTCCTTGGGGAGCTGGAGTCGACTGCTCTGTGCTCAGTGCTCCATCACCCTCCCTCCTTACCATCACCTTCCTCACACCCGCACACCCTTTGCTCGGGGAAGGGGGATGAGGCGGCCAGGAGTGTGGGTGACCTCCCCTCCTGCATGTCGCTGCGGGGCGTGGACGCCAGCATCCTCCTCGTCCCCCACCCCAAGGACCAGCGGCCCACCTGTGGCTCTCAGCAAGTGTCCTCCTAGGGGGCCCATGCAGGGGGGCTCCGAGTGTGGCCCTCGACACCCCCAGAGGCTCCTGGGAGTTCTCAGCCCAGGCACAGGGCATGCCCCCCGCCAAGTGCTCCCCACTCAAAGACGGGGTGGTGGGGGTAAAGGAGGGGTGGGCTCTGCAGGGGGCAGGACAGGGAGCCCCCAGCCCCAGCCAGCTCTGCCCCCGGCCGGCCTCCGAGCGCGGGGTACGCCCCGTCCCCAGAGCTGAAAAGCAAGTTCAGACCGAGGCCCCACGCTCTCCTGCCGCCTTTTTTTTTCTTCTTCTTCCCTTTTTGGAATTCAGGGAATTAAAACCCCAAGCCCTTGGGAACTGGGTTCATCTGGCCCCTCCCCCCTCCCGTGACCCCTCGCGGGGCTGGGGGCTGACTCAGAGGGTGGAACAGAATCCAGCCCCTTAATTAGAATGTTAACAGAAGCGCACGGGCGCGGGGCGGAGGGAATTTCGATCCTAATCAAGCATTTTCCCTCCCAGGCTTCCCTGAAAGCCCAGATGATGTCAGGATAGAAAAGAAAACCGTTCTCCTGCTCAGACGCTGCCAGCGCCTGTCCAAGGAGGAATGCGGAGCCCTGGGACTGGGGGGTGTCCCGAGGGGCCCTGGTGAGGTTCCTCCTCGGGTGCAACCAGCCAGGCCAGCAGCTGGCCATCTCTGGACAGGCCTCGGCTCCAGGAAGGTTCTGGAAGGTTCTGGAAGCCGGCCTGGGCAGGGTCTGACAACAGGGTACAAGGAAGCACCATGAGTGCAAGCCGATGGACACTGTCTGGTCAGCTGATGGGCACAGCGCCCGGTCAGCTGATGGGCCCAGTGTCCGGTCACCTGATGGGCACAGTGTCCGGTCACCTGATGGGCAGTGTGTGGTCCCCTTGCACCTTGGGAACGAGGGCTGAGCCCTTCCCCACCTCCCCGCCCCGGCCAGTCCTGGGCAGCCCCTTGGGCTACAGTGGCCTCTAGTGGCCAAGCTCGGCTCTGCCAAGGCAGAGGGGCGGGTCCCCAGAACCAGGCGCCCGGAACCAGGGGGCTGCAGGGGTTCAGCAGGTGGGCACACACAGTGGGCAGGGGTGAAAGGGCGACTCATCCTTCTCCGGAAGTGGTCACCAGTGCCCACCCTCCAGAATGACCTGAGCTGGCAACTGCAGGGCCGACTCCAGTGGCCAAGCTGCCTGCAAGGGGGGGGCGTCCAGGACCTGGGATGGGGGTTGCATGGGGGGCTTGGACCCAAGTCAGCCACACACCGTGGCCCAGCTCCCAGCCCAGAATGTCTTCTGGTGCCCATTTAGGGGCTACACCCTGCAGTGCTCAGGGCTGACTCCCAGCTCTGTGCTCAGAGCTGACTCCTGACTCTGTGCTCGGGGCTCACTACTGGCTCTGTGCTCAAGACTGACTCCTGGCTCTGTGCTCAGGGCTGACTCCTGGCTCTGTGCTCAAGACTGACTCCTGGCTCTGTGCTCAGGGCTGACTCCTGGCTCTGTGCTCAGGGTTCACTCCTGACGGACTCGGGGGCCCCTCTGGGGTGCGGGGGTGGGACCTGCCACTGGCTGTGACTGCAGCTCTAAGCTGGTTCGTGTTTCGACACTGGCCACTGCAGCGCATCCCAGGGGGCTCTCCCGATCACTCCCAGGCTACCCTGCGGGGACGTGGGGGTGACCGAGACAGGGAGCCCCCTCCTCACTCCCCGAGGCCGTGCACACCTGCATGCCATCTCCTGGCCCATGACATGGGGTCAGGCTGGAACAGAGCAGCAGGGGACGTGAGGTCACTCCCCGGGACAGACAGGAAGTGGAATGGGGGGACACGGCTCGGCCCATGTCTGGGGGCTGGTGCCCCTCTCCTGCCTGGGGCCAAGGACATGGGGCCTCGCTGCGGCCTCTCGGGCGGGACCGTGGGGCGGGTGGGCAGAGCTGGGCTGGGTTGTTGGGATCCCTTAGTTTGGGGCCCCGTCTGGCAGTGCTCAGGGCTGGCTCTTGGCTCTGTGCTCGGAGGCGCTGTGGGGTGGGGGGCAGAGCCCAGGTCCACTGCATGCCAGGTGGGTGCCCTTCCTGCTCAGCCCCGGGCTGGGGTCTGGGGGCAGGACTTACCTCTGGGGAGGAAGATGCCTAGGAATGCAGACGCCCATATATGACTCCAGGGAGCCATGCCCTGCCTCAGTTTCCCCTTGTCATGCGTCCTGGGACTACAGCGCCTTGATGTACCCTTACGAGAGCCACAGGCCTCCAGGCACTGCCACAAGGACCCAGCAATACCCAGAAGGCCGAGAAAGGCTGCCTGGACCCCGCCTCCCCGGGGCCGCTGAGAGGCCAGGGCCAGGCCTAGTGGCTGTTTCTCTGGGGTGCCTCCGGGGAGAGCGCCTGGGACAGGCACAGAGCTCCCCGCCCCACCCCAACACCACCCGACACACAGGGGCCCGTGAGCAGCCTGGGTCCCCTAGCAGACCTCGCCATGGGCCCCGGCTCTGGAATCCCTCCCCGCCCACCAGCTCTCGACACCTGCGGGTGTCAGGAACAGAGCCCAGGCCTTCGCCTGGGTCCCTGAAGCGGAAGAAGAGGGGCCCCGGCCCCTGCAGCCTGCTCTCACACCCCGGCTGAAGGATTGCCAGCTCCCAGGGCTGGGGGACCCTTTGCGTTCAGGGGACACCCCGAATTCCAGGGGTCCGGGGGACTCGGGCTGCCTAGGGGCGGGGATGGGGGTGGAGCTGGGGAACTTTTCTCCTAAGAAACGTCAGAACCGGATGAGTGAAATTATGAGTGAAATTATGCGGGAGGAGAAGGACAGACAGAATGATGTCACTCACATGTGGATTACAAGAACTCGGGCCGGAGTGATAATACAGCAGGTAGGGTGTTTGCCTTGAACACGGCCGACCCGGGTTCAATTCCCAGCATCCCATAGGGTCCCCTGAGCACCGCCAGGAGTAGTTCCTGAGTGCAGAGCCAGGAGTAACCCCTGTGCATCGCGGGGTGTGACCCAAAAAGCAAAAAAAAAAAAAAAGGAATATAAGAACTCATGGTAGGAGAGTGACACATACCCAAAGGCAACAGAGACTGAGAACTTATCCTCAATAGGAAGCTTACCCCGGGCTGGAGGGCGGTCAGGGAGAAGGACGGACAATGGAGAAGGACCGACACAACGGCAGAGGACACGGACCCTTTTTTTGGTTTTATTTGTTTGTTTTGTTTTGTTTTTCTTTTTGGGTCACACCCAGCGATGCTCAGGGGTTCCTCCTGGCTCCGCACTCAGGAATGACTCCTGGCGGTGCTCGGGGGACCCTATGGGATGCTGGGAACCGAACCCGGGTCCAAAATGTGCAAGGCCAACTCCCTCCCCTCTGTGCTATCGCTCCAGCCTCAAAAGCAGATAACTGGACAG